CCGGTACGGGCGCGACACTGAGGGTTGCGATCCCGTTACCGGTCAGTAAAAAAAAAAAAAGGACAAAATAAAAAGGAAAAAAAAAAAAAAAGCGTCTTAGCATTAATAAAAAAATTTCAACATAACTCTGGCAGAGATATTAAGGAAACAGGACCATTCATTTAATGCTTACTACAATGTAAATAGGTTCTTTGTTTTTAGCTGTCAGTTTGACAATGCATAAAAGAGTCATAAAAATATTTAAAATAATCTTGGACCCAATAATCCCATCACCTCTGGAAATTTATCCTTTGTTTCCTTACGAAAGTCCTATTTACAAAATTGTTTTTATTTAGAAGAGTTAAAAAATAATGGAAACATGACTAGTTAGCTCAGTTGGTTAGAGCCCAGCCTTATAACCCCAAGGTATTGACCATCCACAAAAGATAAAATAAAATAATGGAAACAATCTAAATGTCTGCCATTAAAGGAATGGTTAGGTAAGTAAATGAATAATATGTTAACCTGATGCAGCTATTAAAAAGATCAATTAGATCCAAGAAAATGTAAATGAATAGTTCCAGAGGAAAAAAGTTTTAAATGTTATATACGTTATGGTTAAAAACTACAGAAATGTTTGCATATGTAGAGAGAAAGGGATAAAGTTCATAAAGGACAAACAGGAATGTGACTGCCTGTGTTTAGATGAATGATGAGTATAACTCGAAGTATACCCGATTTAAGAAATAATTTTGAATAAAAATTTTATATAAGTAAACAAAAGACAGATTTATCACCACTGAGGATGTTTGAAATGATATGTTCCAGGTTCTAAAGAAAATGCATAAAAGGGAGACTAATAAGGGAGAAACAAATCTAACATTAATGGTAAGTTCTTGTACCTATTTTAATATTAATAACAGTACATGGTGGTTACAAACTAAAAATTTTTATTCCTGACTATTGAAGGAAAATTTTTGTAATTTTAATTTCTATAAAGTCTCTTATGCCATACCTTTTCAACTGAAGTTTCTAAATGTGAATTCTTGCTCTCTGCATCTGTTGTGTCTTGTGAAAGAACTGATTTCTTCCCAACTGCCCTTGTTAAATTGGGTTTAGGTCTTTGGAGTCGCCTTCTCAAGATCAGTTTTACATTTTCTGTTTGATCAGTTTCCCTAAAAAATTAACATTATTTAAATTGCATCCAACATGCAGTCATGTCCAAATGAAATTCTAATAAATTCTAAACTCTTTCAGAACCAGAAAGAACTCTTTTAAAAAAGTTTATTCACAATAATAACAGCAAAGAAAACTGAAAAGAGACTAACTTATTCTATCAGAGTATTATATTAAACTTATTATATATAATTGATATAACATATATATATATATATAATTATATATAACTGGCATAACATATATAATAACATATAACTAATTGACATACTTACATCAATTATAACTTATTCTATCAGAATATTCTATCAGTTAAAAATATATTGTTCACCATCAATAGCTAAAATAGTGTGGAACTAATATATAAGCAAATAGATAAATGTAACAAAATAGAAAATCAGGAAAATGACTCCAAAACACACATAATTTTAGCATACGATAAAGGTAGCAGCTCAAAACAGTGAGGGTAAAATGGAATACAAAATAAAAAAATTTTTTTTTCCTTTTTTGTCTTTTTTCGTGACCGGCAACGGATCGCAACCCTCAGTGTCGCGCCCGTACCGGACCAGGACCGGCAACGGGATCGCAACCCTTGGCACTGCTCCCGCACCTCGCTCAGCCAGTGAGCGGCCGGTCTGTATGTGGGATCCGAACCCTCGGCGGGAGCGCCACCACGTTCCCAAGCGGCGCACTGTAGCAGTGCGCCACCGGGCCGGCCCAAAATAAAATATTTTTAAAGTAAATATTAAATAAAATTAAATAAATGGTGATGGGAAAACTGGATAACTCTAAGGAAACAAATAAAATTAGCTATATTCCAAGTAGACCAAAGATTTAAATAAAACCATAGAGAAAACATGCTTAAGTTATTTTATAAGCTTGAGGTAGGACAAACCTTTCTAAAATACAATAAAAAGCCATAAAAGAAAAAAAATTGAGAAATTTGAAAACATAAAAATCAAAACTTTTACAGAGCCAAAACATCAAAAGCTAAATCAGAAGCCAAACTGTAAATCAGGAAACTCATACCGCAAATTCGGAAACTCATACCACAAATTAGGAAACTCATACCGCAAGGCTAACCAACATAAAGAGCTCCCAGAAAACAGTAACATCAATAACTAAAAACTGGTCAAAGGATATGGACAACTCACAAAAAGTAAAATAAAATAAAAAATAAAAATGGGTTTTAAATATGAAGAGATACTCAATTTCACTCTAATAAGTACAAAGTAGGGGCTGGCCGGTAAGTTCAGTTGGTTATAGTGCAGTATTATAACACCAATGTCAAGGGTTCAGGTCACCACACTGCCAGCGGCCAAAAAAAAAAAAAGTACAAATTAAAACTAGACTGCAAGAGAGAAAGACAGTGAGCACACAAATGTGACAACATATTAAGAAACAGAAAATCTAAGAGGAATTATTTACAGATGCTCATTGTTCTATTTTTTCAACTTTTCTTTGGGACAAAAATTTTTAAATAAAAAACTGAGAGAAAAAAATAAAAGAATCACATACCCCTACCCAGCAAAAAGAGGGGTGGGGTCCCTACTTGGACAGCATTTTTTTAATTATTAAGACTAGCAAAAATCCAAAAGTTTGATAACATCGTTTGTTGGTTAAGGGGACAAGTACTCTCTTACATTGTTGATGGGACTGTGTAAACCACACTTCCTATGGAGAGCATTTTGGTAGTATCTACCAAAATCATAAATGTATGAATGTGTGTGGGTACATACATACATACACACGCACACACATCCCCTTTGAGCAAGCAATTCCATTTTTAGGAACTTATTCAAAAAATGTACTGCATATAGGCAAAAGAATGGAGATACAAGATTGTAAGCATTGTTTATAAAAACAACCTATACAGCCATCAATAGGGCGCAGATAATACAAACTATGATGCACCCATACAACAGAACACTATTAAGCTATAAAAAGAAAAAGAAAGGTCTTTACGTAAAAATGTGAAGACAGAAGAAAAATTGCAAAATACTATGTACGGTATGCTACCATTAGAGGATTTTTTTAAAAATCAAAAAATATAAATTTGTATAAGCTTGAATGTACCTTTTTTAAAATCTCTAAAAAACTATAATAAATAACACTGGTTACCTGTTAGAGTGAAAAGGGACAGGGTGGGAGACTTCACACCTTTTACACTTTTTGATGTTTGAACTATATGAATGTATTGCTTTTTCTAAAGACTAATTTAAATTTTAATTTAAACGGCCGAGCCCGTGGTGCACTCGGGAGAGTGCAGTGCTGGGAGCGCAGCTTCGCCGCGGGTTCGGATCCTATATAGGGATGACCAGTGCGCTCACAGCACTCACTGGCTGAGCGCGGTGCAGCCAGTCTCAAAAAGGACAAAAAATTTTTTAATTTAAAAAAAGTTTGGTTCACCATGTGACTGTGCTTTACTGAAAAATAAGAATTCATAAACTGAACAGCATTTAAACCCATATGAGGTGAGAAGTTGTGAGAATTAAAAAAAAGAAGGCTGAAATCCTGAGGTATCTCTTCAAAGGGAGATTCCTATGGTACTTTTGTTCCAAATGAAGATATTAATTTAGCCAGTACTGCATACTGAAAGATATGCTCACCTTCTTAAAGTCATCAGTATCAAAATCTACTACTTTAACACTAGGCATGAAAAATAACTCAAAACAAGTATAAGTGAAACCTCATAGCAAATATTTAGGCTTTCAAATTTTTTTAAAATTTCATAAGTTACCACCTTGCTAAAACTCGTATCACTATTATACATCAGATATGAAAGAGAATCTTTCTGTAATGAAATATCAAGTGAAAAACCTTGATATCACAGTCTTAATAGACCACAGTATAACTACATATTAAATGGTCTTCATATTAACGATCTCTGCTAGTCCCTAAATAAAGCAACATTATTATCATAATATTGGAAATAAATAAATTCTGCCATGTAAAATACTCACGGTGATTTATTCTTTAGGTCAATATTTCCTTCTTCTGTACAACTCCTCTCAGCATTATTCACCTCACACAATGCTCTAATTCCAACTTCTGATGAAGGAGAATCTGAAGTGCTTGATTCTGAAGACTCAGTTGCTACTGACCTGGTATCTTGATTACTAAGGAAATGAAAATATATCACGAGGACAAGAATTCCTAGTAATCATATTTTTATACTAATTATTTAAAATATTTTTAAAATATACAAAACCAACACTTTGGAAGATGACCCTTCATATTATGGAATGATAAAAACCATTATGTTGGCTTTTCTATGATCCTTTCGGCATCATGTCATAAAGAACTGTACCTTCAAAGAAAGTAGCAGCCACAAATTAACAGGCTTGGGAAAGTTTTTAAGAAGTCCCAAAATGAAAAAGCGTTAATTAAATGGGGTTCACAAATCAAACGTATATGTAAAATCATAGTAATACTTACAAATTAGCTTTTATTAAAATTTTACATAGTCAGTCCTTGTACTGCATGGTACTGTGTTAACCAAAAGTTGTGTAAAGAGAGGACACAGTTCCGATAATCACAAGTTGCAGTTAACACTGTACTGTGCAAAGCAAGGACTACTGCATTATGAAATATTTCAACCAACAAAAATATAAGTGAGGGCCATGTACTAACTAGCACTGTTTCAATACATATTCACATTTAGCCATACTTTTTTTTCTCCATTGGGTATTTATCTTTTCCTGACTTATCAGTAAGACTTCTCTCTATATTTTTATTGGCTAGATGTTACACATAAAACCTCAGAATATTGCCTTTCATTTTCTCTATGGAGCCTTTGTTAACAAAAGTATTTAATTTTACTGCAAATTTATCAATCTTATCTTTTAAAGTCTGTGCTTTTTATGTCTTAAGAAATCCTTCACATCACAGAGATAATTTCCAACATTTCTTCCAAAAATTTAAAAAATCTGTTCTATACATGTAGTCTTTAACGCATCAGGAAGTTAGTGGATAGGGTAACATAGGAATCTAAAATTATCTTTTTCATATCTCAGCACCATCTAATGAATAGTTACTTTAATCTTTGCCCCCTGATTTCTAAAGCTATCTGCCATATAACAGATTCTTAAATGCCTCTTCCTAGACTCTACATTCAGTTCCGCTAAGTCATTTTGTCTAATTCTGTAGCAGTACCACACTGCTTTAATTACTCTAGCTTTAGAAAAATTCTTAATACATTCCCTCTTCAGTTGTTTTTCAAAATCATCTTGACCATTCATGACCTTTTGCTCTTGCGTACATGACAATTTTAAAATCAACTAGCTGTTTTCCAAAACCAATTGGGATCTTAACAGTCATTACAGGATTGTTGCCCCACTACATTAGAAAAAGTCATGCAGGGCCAGCCCGGTGGCGCACTCGGTAGAGTGCGGCGCTTGGGAGCGCGGCAGCACTCCCATGGAGGGTTTGGATCCCATATAGAGACCGGTCCGCTCACTGGTTGAGCACGGTGCGGGCGCGACACCGAGGGTTGTGATCCCGTTGCCGGTCACGGTACGGGCGCGACACTGAGGGTTGCGATCCCGTTACCGGTCACGGAAAAAAGACAAAAAGGAAAAAAAAAAAAAAAAAAAGAAAAAGTCATGCATAACGTTTTATGTGTAGTTTAGAAAATTAGTTGTATCCTTGAAGTCATACTTTAGGTATCTTTCAACTGACAACAAACAACTGCAAGAAACAGTGAGTGTATATGATTCCACTTATACAACATATCAAGAGTAGGCAGATTCACAAAGATAGAAAGTAGATTAGAAGTTACCAGGAGTTGAGGGGAGGAGAGAATGAGGAATTACTGCATAATGGGTATGGAGTTTCTGTCTGGGGTGATGAAAAAGTTTCATTACAGATGAAAAAGTTTCATCAGAAATGAAATGAAACTTTTTCATCAGAAATGGCAGCGATGGTTGCACAACAACATAAATGTAATTAATGCCTAAGAATTATATGCATTAAGCACACATGGCTAATATATCAAACTTTATGTTATATATATTTTACCACAATCAAAAAATAAAAAGATAAGGCTAAGAATTTCCCAAACAGAAGCTCAGAGAACCTCAAGCAGGATAAATTTAAAACTATAGGGCCGGCCCGGTGGCGCACTGGATAGTGTGCCGCTTGGGAGGTGCGGCGGCGCTCCCGCCCGAGGGTTCGGATCCCACATACAGACCGGTTCCCGCTCACTGGCTGAGTGAGGCGTGGGAGCAACACCGAGGGTTGCAGTCCCGTTGCCGGTCCCGGTCCGGTGCGGGGGCGACACTGAGGGTTGCGATCCGTTGCCGGACACGGAAAAAGACAAAAAAAAAAAAAAAACTATAACGGCTGGCTGGTTAGCTCACTTGGTTAGAGCATGGTATTATAACACCAAGGTAAAGGGTTCAGATCTCCATACCGGCCAGCCACAAAAATAAACCAAAAAAACACCCACAACCAGACCAGGGACAACCAGTGAGCTGCTGCAGGAAGTGCTCCATGCTCCTAAGCTGGGGTGGTAGGGGGCCAAGGGCCTCAGCCACGCCCCCTCAACACCCACAACCAGCTTAGCAACAACCACCAAACCACTACTGGAAGCCCCCTGTCTCCCCTGTAGAAATGAGGGGGGTTCCATGGGCTTCAATCACACACATCCACCTTCTTCTACCTTCTCCCACCCTATTTTCTTCCCCTTTCCTTCTCCCCCCTCCCCTCCAACTGCTCTGCAACATCTCAGAATGTAAAAAAATGATAATAGTAATAAATGAATAAACTTCAAAAAATTAAATAAATAAATAAATAAAACAAAACAAAATCTTGAGGAAAAAGAACAAAACTGGAGACCTCACACTTCCTCACTTCAACTCATATTACAAAGCTACAGAAATCAAAACAGTATGGCACAGGCATAAAGATAGACATATATCAATGGAAGCAAACAGAGAACCCAGAAATGAACCCACATATACACAGTCAAATGATCTTTGAGAAGGGTGCCAAGACTACACAATGGAAAAAGGAAACTCTCTTCAATAAATGACACTAGGAAAATTGGATATCCACAAGCAAACAAATGAACCTTCAGGCTGGCCAGATAGCTCATTTGGTTAGAGCATGGTCTCGTAACACCAAGGTCATGGGTTCAGATCCCCTTACTGGCCAACCACCAAAAACCAAAAATCGAAAAAACAAAAAAAATGAAATTGGACCCTTATCTTATACCATACACAAAAATCAACTCAAAATTGATTGCAGACTTAAATGTAAGACTTGAAGCTATAAAACTCCTATAAGAAATCATAGGGAAAAAGCTTCATAACATTGGTTTTCTCAGTGATTTCTTGTATATGACACCAAAAGCACAGGTAACAAAAGCAAAATTATACAACTGGGACTACATAAAACTAAAATGTTTCTGCACAGCAAAGGAAACAATTGATAAAGGAAAAAGGCAACATATGGGATGGGAGAAAATATTCGCAAAACATATATCTGATAAGGGATTTATATCCAAAATATATGAATAACTCCTATAACTAAATAGCAAAAAAGCAAAAAAACCAAAAAGTAAAAGGCTGACAGTTGTAACACTAAGGTCATGGGTTCGGAACCCCTTGCCAGACAACCACCAAGAAAAAAAAAATAATAATAATAAATAAATAGCAAAAAAGCAAATAAACAAATTAAAGAATTGTCAAAGGATCTGAATAGACCTTTCTCCAAAGAAGATAAACTAATGGCTAACAGGTATATGAAAAGATGCTCGGGCTGGCCCCATGGCGCACTTGGGAGAGTGCGGCACTTGGGTGTGCAGCAGCGCTCCCGCCGTGGGTTCGGATCCTATATAGAGATGGCCGGTGGGTTGCGATCCCCTTACCGGTCACAAAAAAGACAAAAAAAAAAAAAAAAAGAAAAGATGCTCAATATCACTAATCATGAGGGAAATGCAAATCAAAACAACAGTGAGGTATCACTTAAAAGATAAAAAAAAAAAAGGCCGACCCCGTGGCTCACTTGGGGGAGTGCGGTGCTGGGAGCGCCAAGGCCGTGGGTTCGGATCCTATATGGGGATGGCTGGTGCACTCACTGGCTGAGTGCAGTGCAGGCGACACCAAGCCAAGGGTTACAATCCCCTTACCGGTCACAAAAAAAAAAGTATTGGTGGGGATTTGAAAAAATTGAAATCCTGTACACTGCTGGTGGGAATGTAAAATGGTGCACCTGCTATTGAAAATGGCATGGAGGTTCCTCAAAAAAATTAAATATAGAATTACCATACAATCTATCAATTCCACTTCTGGGTATTTATTCAAAAGAATTGAAATGAGGATCTTGAAGAGATATTTGTGCTCCCATGTTTCTTGCAGCATTATTCACAAGAGCCAAGAGATGAAAACAACCTAAATGTCCATCAACTGATACATAGATAAAGAAAATGTGGTATATAAATGCAATGGAATGCTATTCAGCCATAAAAAAGGAAATCTTGTCATGTGCTACAACGTGGATGAACCTTGAGGATATTACACTAAGTGAAATAAGCCAGTCACAGAAAAACAAATACACATGATTCTACTTATATGAGGCATTTAAAGTAGTCAAACTCACAGAAACAGAAAGTAGAATGGTGGCTGCCAGGAGTCAAGGGGAGGAAAAAATGGGGAGTTGCTATTCACTGGTTCAGTCATGCAAGATGAAAAAATTCAAGAGATTTAACTGTACAACACTGTGCTTAGAGTTAACAATATTGTACACTTAAAAATTTGTTAAGAGAGTAGATCTCATGTGTTTTTTACCACAACAAATAATAAATTAAAAAATGTTTAAAGTACACACACAGCAGCACACATCATATTCAAACTGACAAAAACCAAAGAGAAAATCTTTATAGAAAATGATAAACCCATGCAAACACTAACCAAAAGAAAGTTGTAGTTGAAAAGTAAACATCAAAAAAAAAGAGCAATACCAGAAGGCTAGCACACAAGGATAAAAGGGGATTTCACCAAGACAACAATCCTAGATACGTTCACATCTAACAACGGAGCTTCAAAATACATAAAGCAAAAACAAATAGAACCAAAAAGAGAAACAGGCAAAAACCACAATACAGTGGGAGACTTCAACATTCCTCTCTCAGTAATCAATAGAAGATGTAGATAAAGCCATTAAAGTCATAGAAAATACCTTGATGAAAGGATGGAGTCAGTTCTTTTCTCAACTTTTTCACTGGAGGCTAATCCCACAATGTCATCTATGTTCTGTATGCAGGAAAGTTTCTGTTCCTTACTGCTTTCAGTTTCATTTACCTCAGGCTTTAAAGACTGACATTTGTCTATGAATATAAAATGTATGTTATTCTAAAAAACATCTCTTTTTTTAAAGCACAAAGGAATGGACATATAACATTGTTTTTTCCTACAAAACACTACCCCATTCAACATTCAAGTTCCTATTTTCAAGGCATACATTTTATTTTTAAAGCATAGTGAAAATTTAATAAACTTACAACTGTCTGTATTTTGAAGATCAGCCCATTTTTCCTGCATAATTTGTAGCATCTTCCTTTCATTTTGCTTAAGTTTTAAGTGGTTACATTGACTTGTTTTATGTGTCTAGTGAGGACACTAAAAGTGGACGTGGCTATTCGTTTGCTCCTTAGAAGTATAATAATTAATAACATGGTAACAGATACCATTTATTTAGTACTAAGGACCCTCTATCAGATGGCAGGACCCTCTATCAGATGCATTACTTCATTCAATACTCAAAACAATCCTGTAAAAGGTATTAAGATTAACCCCTTCATAGACAAGAACTACCTAAATTTAGAGATCTTAAGTGACTTGTCCAACGACATACTTAGCAAATAAAAGAGCTGGAATTTAAAGCAAGGTCTGTTTGATTTCTAAAATCTGATTTCTGAATCATTAAACTATTCTGCTTTATGTGTAATGTCTCTAATAGTAAGCACAAAAGAGCATAATATTGTATGCCTATATCATACTATGTTAATCACCAGCACTATTTATTAAAATCATATTGGTGAAGCTGACCTACGTAAAATTTAAATTCTATAGAAAAGTTGTTCTGATTTGCTACTACCTTTTCCTTTCTTTACTTGATTATCTGCTTTAAGTAATGTATATATGAAGGGTCTTCAAAAAGTTCATGGAAAGATTTGCATTATCTTTCAGTTCTACTTTTCCATGAGCTTTGTGAAGTGTCTTCATATGAACTCTTAAGGAAAAGGACCAAGACACCCCTAAACTCTTAGTGCCAATATGTTTACATTCTCAGAGTAAAAAAGAAAAATGGGAGAAATACGTATTCCACTAGCTTTTTCATACAAGTTAAACAACCCATTGTGAGTTTATGTAGGTATTCCACAGAGATAGAACATGGAAAACTGTGATTTACTGACATACAAAAGCAACATTTAACCATATATATGTGATTTCTAATCACTGTTAAAGGGAAGTTATCTTAGAAACAAACTTTGAAGAAAAATCTCCCTGCTTTACTTTAATGTGGTTTTTAAAAAAAATTTTTTTCCCACAGTAAACTTGTTTCTTTTAACTCAAAATAAAAGGATTTAACGCAGTACTGTGAGCACAGAACACATTAATAAGGAAGATTATTTGCTACTATCTAGAAGGAAAGTTTTTAGGTTATATAACATATTAATGTACATGTCTTCTCAAGTAATACACATGCTATTAAAATATGTAATAAACTTACTCTTGTGTTTTTCTCCTTTAGAACGGCCTGACTGAACAGTGGCATTTCCTAAAAGATTTTTTACTTCCTGTTCATTAACTTCATCTTGATTCTTCCTTCTCATTTTCTTCTGGTTTAGGTCTTCTTCTAATGCAACCTGGTCTGAATCCTGTCCCAATAAAGTCAAAGACTCTTCTTCTTCAACTGTCTGAGCATCCTTCTGAGATCTTTCTGTGTCTGATATTGTAGTACTAATAGACTCAACTGGATCATCATTAACTCCCTCACTGGTGACTTTTTTCACTGAAAACAAAAGAAATGATTATAAATATACTAACAACCTAAAGAAAAATTCTTAAAGGTGGAGAAAATAAACACTCAAGGATGTCCTCTGTAACATTATTTGCATGAGCAAAAAAATGAAGACAACCTAAAATGTCCAACAGGGAATAACTAAATAAATTATAACACATTCATGCTATAAAAATCCATGCAGCCAATAACAACAATGAGGCAGGTTTATACGTAGCAATGTGAAAGATTTCAAAACATATTACATTGCATAAAAAAATCAAGTGGCAGAACAATATATATATGATATCATTTTCATTAAATGAAAACAATTACATACACTCTAAAACACACACATACCTATACATGCATAGAAAAGGGTTTTGCAATAGTTTTCCCTGGGAAATCTGAAGAATTTTATTTGAGGGATAGGTAGGAGAGAGTTCAAGAATTTTATCCTCTGTATCACTTCTTTTTCAATGAAAAACCTTTTTAACAAATATTTTTAAATAATTTCTCCTTACTAAGAAGAAATTAAGAAGTACCCTTCTTATTAAGTCATGTTAATAGTCAGCTGTATCAAAAGATGAAAACATTAATTAAATAAAAAACCAAAAAAATAGAGACCACCATGGAAACAGCAACTGCTATGATTTGAATGTTTGTCGTCCCCCGCCCAAACCTCATTTGAAATTTAATTACCATTTTAACAGTATTAAGAGGTGGGATTTTTAAGAGGTGATTAGGCCATGAGGGCCCTCATGGTAGAATTAATGCCATTATGAAATGACAAGTTTGACAAGCTCTGGCTCTCTCACTTTGCTCTTCTGCCATGCTATGACACAGCCAGAGGACCTCATCAGATAATGGTGCCATCACCAAAACTTGGGACTTCCCAGCCTCCAGAACTGTGAGAAATAAATTTCTGTTCTCTATAAATTACCTAGTCTCAGGTATTCTATTATAGCAGCACTAAACAAACTAAGTCAGCACCCAAACCAAAAGCAAGGTTAACTTTAAAACCATGGTTGATCAGACATCTTCTCTAAAAATATCCAATCTTAAAAGATAAGAAAATTTCATGTCATTTACTTTTCTTTATAATAAAGTCAAAATAAGGTTTTAAAATTGAGAAAACAACACTTGATTTATTCTATCAAAATAATCAGAAAATTTTAAATCTTATAATATATCTGAAAAGTTCTTACATTAAATAAGATACAGTGAGCTTCAAATGCTATTTATTACCTGTATCATAATCATAAAAGGAATTAATATATCTATTTTAATCTCCTAGGGCTATGTATAGGAAGTAAAAAAATTTAACAAAAGAATGAAATAACTTTGCAGTTATCAATACTACTTTTTAAAAGACACAGGCCCCATACTACAGAAAAAGAAATTCTAGACTGGCTTTGTGCAGAAAAGCATTAATACAGCTCTCCTTTGAAAGGTCTGCTTGTAAAGCTAGCCCTAGGACTGTGTCTGAGAACTTGGTTTGGGGGAGGGTTCCCACCACCCTAACTGATAAGAGCAGCTCACCAGCAGCTCACTGTGCCTAAATTGTCTGTATAAACAGCATGGTTTATGCTGAACTGCTTTCCTTCTGGGAGTCTAGAATTTTGGTATGTACTAATCATTTGTGAGTCCTTCTAGAGAATAGTCAAACCTGGTGGTGGTTTTGGGGACCCCCAACAAAGGCTCTCGCAGTCCTAGGATTTAGTGCTGCCTTTGCCACTACCAACCAAAATGAGACCTTAGGAAAAAGTGACCTAGAATCTCTGGGGCTGTTTCTTGCTGACTGAAAACGAATGCAAAAGGGTCTGCAATATAAACTAGCTAACGTATAAAGTTCCCTGTAGTTCCAAGATTCTTTAAATTATGTGATTAAAGCTGAACATTGCCCTCACAGACCAGAGGTCAAATAGTTAAGAAAATATAATCCTAAAATTAGAAACATCTAATAAAAACAATTTTCTACCTGGTATAAGTCAACATTAACCTTCAGAAATAAGTTGTGCTCTAACAATACAATTTAGTCACAACCCCAAAATATTAAGAGGTCCATTTTTACAAATATTAGAATTTTATACCAGATTTGTTTTACAGAGGAAAATGATAACAAATAACCAAACACCAAACATGACACTCCCAAATTCTGACGCTCTTTGATTAGCTACAACTATGCTCTAGATGCCAGAAAGATTTCAAATAGCTCACCCACACCAATTAAAACATTTAAAAGGAAGCTACTATTTTCGCCCAAATAACAACTGGTAGATTGAAGAAAAATCAGTTCCCTCAAATTGGATGCCTTGATGATCTCAACTACCTGAGCCACACATTAACCCTCAAAGACCTGAGGGATAAAAGTGCAAGTCTATTACTACTTAGTAAAATAGCACACTTCCTTTTAAAATCATTACCTTTCACATTTTTCCGTGGTTTGGAGGATTTCTTTTCGTTTAAATTGTGATTTTTAGTGGATTTTTGTTTTCTCTTCTCTTCTTCAGCAAGAACTTTCTGAAGCAAATGAGCAAAAAAATCGAAGTCAAAAGGGCGCTTTTCCTCTGTTTAAAAAAAAAAGGAAAAAATCTTTCAAGTTTTTATTTTTTTAAAGTATCATAACATCAAAAGCAAATGGGTTTGTTTATCAGCACAAGAATGGATAAACAAGTACACAATAGAACACTACTCAGCAATAAAAGGAACAAACTTAAGAATTTTTTAAAAAGTAACAAACTACGGATACAAACAATAATATGGGATGAGTGAAAGAAACCAGGTACAAAAGAGTACATACTGTATGATTGCATGAATAAGACATTCTAGAACAAGCTAAACTAATCTATGATGATTCAAATAAAAATAGTGGTTGCCTTAGGCCAGAAGGACAGCATTTGACTGACTGGGAAGGAAAAGTAGGGATCTTCTGAAGTGGTGAAAATGTTCCATGTACCGTATGGGATGGTGGTTACACAGTTATACTCTTTGTCAAAACTCAAACGACACTTTGAACTGTGTGTAAATATAAACTCATTTCTTAAAATGGCAAAAATGACTAAGATGTCCTCAAAATGCCTATGCACCACCACATGCCCTCTCTTTATCACACCATTCCACTATTTATTCTTCCAAGTATCAGCAAACTGAGAAATAAATGAACGCTGATCAGGAACACTCCCAAATACCCATCAACAGTACTATATCAGAAAGAGCAATCAGTAAGCAAACCAATAATGAATCCACAACAGGAGTCAAATCCTTGTGTAAGCTTTACATCTAAACTTATGGTGAATGTAGAGAAAACGGTGCTGTATATACATAAGCCCAAGATTGGTTTGATTATAAAGACTCAGAAAAAGACATACATACTAAAATAAAAACAGTCTCAGGAAACCAAACCCAAATCTGGGATCCCTGAAGGCCCTGTTTCACTGTGGACCCAGCCTTAATCTATTCTGACTCTCCACAACAATGATTCTGAAAAACACAGTTAGCACTCAAAGAATCCATAAAGGATCTCCACATGGTTCTCAGAGGAATTCAAAATATAAGTTCCCAAAAAAAACCATGTGAGTTTTAATTTTTTTAAATTTTTGACTATAACCCACCAAAATAATTGAACTTTTTGTTTTGTTTTTCTGGGGGGTTTTTTTGGTGGCTAGCCAGTACAAGGGATCAAACCCTGGACCTTAGTGTTATCAGCAGCATTAAATTTTTGACTATAACCCACCAAAATAATTGAACTTTTTGTTTTGTTTTTCTGGGGGGTTTTTTTTGGTGGCTAGCCAGTACAAGGGATCAAACCCTGGACCTTAGTGTTATCAGCAGCATGCTGTAACCAATATAAGCAGCCACCCTGAGTTTTACAGGTAGCTATTATAGTATTTTTTTTAAAAGGCTCCACACTCCGAACAGACTATTTATAGATTTATGGATTATTTTCTGATTATAATGTGTTAAACTTATAATGAAAGTTTTCGGGACTATTTCTCTAAAATGGAGAGTGTTGGGCCGGCCTGGTGGCGCATTCGGTAGAGTGCGGCGCTTGGGTGCCTGGCAGCGCTCCCGCCGAGGGTTCGGATCCCATATAGAGACCGGTCAGCTCACTGGTTGAGCGTGGTATGGTCGCGACACCGAGGGTTGCGATCCCGTTACCAGTCACGAAAAAAGACAAAAAGGAAAAATAAAATAAAATAAAATAAAATAAAATGGAGAGTGTTGAGGACCACAATATTACATTTCTGGAATAGCCATTACTGGAAGTGGTTTCTCTGAGGAGAAAATAAAATATTTAGGTGTAGGATACACTCATCTACCTTAGAGTATTTTCAAACAATAAACGTACATGCTATACAATTTAAGTTCTTTCTATACTTGGATTTTTTTCTAAAATTAGCAGTATGGCTAATTTTAACTAATTTTTTTTTTCCTTTTTGTCTTTTTTCGTGTCCGGCAACGGATCGCAACCCTCAGTGTAGTTAGAAGCTGAAAGATGTCAATCATTCCTTCAAATCAGATCTAAATACAAACATTACCTCTTCAGACAGAACTTTCCAGATGACCCAATCTAAACATTTACCTTTGTAAGTCCCTCTTTTTTCTTATTTTTAGAAATTAATGACTATTTGAAATTATCGTGTTTATCAACTGTATCCGTTCCCTCATCCAATTAGACTTAAGGCTCTAAAACAGGATTCTATCTACCCTGTTCACCATTATGGCCTCAATACCTAGAACAGTGACAAGCATGCAGCAGGTGGTCAGTACTGTTGACTGAATGAATGATTAACTACTGGAAGGAACCATCTATGGTACACTATCTTACAGAAACAATTAACCCCTTGAATATAGTTCCTTCAGAATAAAGAACACGTAGAAGTGGAATCATCAGTCTCTCTGTAAGCTCCTAGATTTAGAACTCTGCTTACCTGCTTCTGGATATTTTAGATTATCCCTTGCATATAGATTTGTAGCTGTCAGACCCATACTGCTAAATAGAAAAATTTTCCTATGCCAATATGGGGACAAAACAAATCTAAAACACACTAGAGCTAAAGTCAAAAGACTGGTCATTTCTAATGCTCTCCAAGTGGAATGTAAAAGAGGTCTTAATACTTACGGAATGCTTTGTCTATTCTCCATCCATTTGTTTTCTCTTCACGTTTAAATTTATTCTGTTAACAACAACAACAAAAAACCTATAGTAATTTTCTATCATTAGAGAAGATTTTTTTTTAATAAAACAGTAAACATTAAAATGAAACTCTTATGAATAACATAACTATTCTCACCTATTGGCAAAAACATATTTAGATCAGTCAGCTTTTTAAAAATAAAGATAAAAGATTTATACCAAGCTTCCTGATCCTCCTTATTATCAATAGCATGAATCAACAATGAAAGCTGGATTTACAGAGGACAGAAATAAATTCAGCTAGCACGGAAACAGATCAAACATATAATCAATTAAGCTGACTGGTACAGGCCGAGTATCCTTTACCTGAAATGCTTGGGAACAGTAGTGTTTCAGATTTCTTCAGATTTTAGAATATTTGCAGATACTTAACCAGCTCAGCATCCATCATCTGAGAATCCGAAATCTGAAATGCTCCACTGAACACTTCTTTTGAGCATTATGATGATGCTCAAAAGAAGTATTTTTAAGGTTTTGCATTTTGGAGCATTTTGGATTTTGGAATAAAAGAGGCTCAATTTATATTAACTTTTTTTTTAATTGAAACATAATTGATGTATTAACTTTTTAAAAACTAAAATGTTCAGGGCCGGCCCGGTGGCGCACTGGATAGTGCGCCGCTTGGGAAGCGCGGCGGCGCTCCCGCCCGAGGGTTCGGATCCCACATACAGACCGGTTCCCGCTCACTGGCTGAGCGAGGCGCGGGAGCAACGCCGAGGCTTGCGATCCCGTTGCCGGTCCCCGGTCCGGTACGGGGGCAACACTGAGGGTTGTGATCCGTTGCCGGACACGGAAAAAGACAAAAAAAAAGACAAAAAAAAAAAAAAAGAGATAATAAAAAAAAAAAAAAAAAAA